ATAACAAGCCTCAACATAAACTGACACATATTACCTAATAACAAGCCTCAACATAAACTGACACATATTACCTAATAACAAGCCTCAACATGAACTGCCACATATTACCTAATAACAAGCATCAACATGAACTACCACATAATATTACCTAATAACAAGCCTCAACATGAACTGCCACATATTACCTAATAACAAGCATCAACATGAACTACCACATAATATTACCTAATAACAAGCCTCAACATGAACTGCCACATATTACCTAATAACAAGCATCAACATGAACTACCACATAATATTACCCAATTACAAGCATCAACATGAACTACCACATATTATTTAATAACAAGCCTCCACATGATATTACCTAATAACAAGCCTCAATCTGAACTGCCACATATTACCTAATAACAAACCTCCACATGATATTACCCAATAAGGAGCCTCAACATGAACTACCAAATGATATTACCTAATAAGAAGCCTCAACATGAACTGCCACATATTACTTAATAACAAGCCTCCACATGAACTACTACATGATATTACCTAATAACGAGCCTCAACATGAACTGCCACATGATATTACCTAATAATGAGCCTCAACATGAACTGCCATATGTTATTACCTAATAAGAAGCCTCAACATGAACTGCCACATATTACTTAATAACAAACCTCCACATGAACTACCACATGATATTACCCAATAAGGAGCCTCAACATGAACTACCAAATGATATTACCTAATAAGAAGCCTCAACATGAACTGCCACATATTACTTAATAAGAAGCCTCCACATGAACTACCACATGATATTACCTAATAACGAGCCTCAACATGAACTGCGACATGATATTACCTAATAACAAGCCTCAACATGATCTACCATAGTTAATTCTTATTCGCTCCATTACTCATAATTTGTCCAACTTTATCCTTCCATTACTCAAACAAATCTCATATGGGCAGTTTATTCAAATACTCAATGATTTTGAACTCCTGAATCACATCCAGAGCTGTGCGATTTAACTGATTACCTATGAACTGCAATTACATTGATTAGTGTAATATAAAATAATTGATTAATCAGTATTACAATTAAACAGATTAATCAAAATTAGTATTTCGAACTATCCAAATAACCAAAATATTTCTATTATGCTTGTGGTTAAGCACAAAATAGTAAATAAGGGGCTATCTTTGGTCAGCCCAATTTTAGCCTTATTAGTTGTTTTAATTTACTTCAAGTTTGTTCAGTTTTAGTGATTCAGGGATAATCTTATGAATGAAGAGTCTCAAGTTCAATTCCCATGGTCATCAAACTTGCTCACCCTGTCTTTGTTATGGCAAAGCTGCTAAAGCTGTCTGCCACTATC